CGCTTCTCGTTTCCATTTTTCTTTTATCCCACTTTCTGACACCAATTTGTTACGTCTCCGTGTTTTAATTGATTTTTCCGTAACTTCGTACCGACGAAACTTACGCGACACAAGCCTTTACTTAATAAAACTGGTTTATTCTTTCCGAATATAACTTAACCGATACACTCAACAATCGCGCTAAACAAACGCTATAGCAACGAACGTCAATAATACTCCGACCGCAGATCAATTACTCACTGAGAGACTACCCACCTCACATTCCCCTTGCGTCAGCGAGTCACGTGACCACTGTGGCGCCCTCTAGTTTCTAGAACTATCTTGTTCTTTCGGGAATGCTCTAGTAATTGCTCGATGTAGGGTGGGCTGGTATATATAAAGGACAGCGTTTTAAGTCCGTAAAGCTACCGCTGACCCATCGGGAAACGTTTTTTTCGTCTCTGTTAAGTATGTGTCATATTAATGTACTAGCTGGAGTACCGTCGCCTGGACGGAAGTTATGTAAATTATTTATTAATGAAAGGTTATCATAGGATATGAAAAGTTGCTTCCCTTATATGTAATTGTAAAAAACGCCCATAAAAACAGTAAAACACAAAATGTGAAACCGCAAATTTGCGTATATCTCCGCATGGACCTTTCATGCCAACTTTGGTGAAGACACATCACCAGGAGATGAAGTAGTGATAAAAAACGCCCATAAAAACCGCAAAACGCAAAGCTGAAATTTGGTATGTACCCCGGCATGGACCTAATGAACCTCCATAGTAATTATGGTGAAGATCCATCCACATCCTGCGAAGTAGTTATATGGTCAGACAACAGATAGTACTATTATATTTATATAGATTTACATAGAATAACATCTTAAACAGCGATTTTTCCAAAAATAAGCCTAGATAGCATAATAATCCCACTAGAAGCAAATTTTTTATCCTTGGCTATTTTTCATTTTCCTTGATATTTTTATATTGTCGTACGTTGGATTTTAAAATTTGTAAATTTCATACAAACAAAACACACAAAACTGTTTCCGAAGTGACCCTTGTTTTTAAGTAATCCTAATTAACTATGTGGTATTCTTAGGTGCACTGATTAACGTTACAGGTAATAATAGTGTCACGTCTCCGTTCGTTAATTAATTTTCCGTAAGTTCGTTCCGACAAAATTTTAGCGATACAAGTCCTTACTTAATAAAACTGGTTTATTCTTTCCGAATATAACTTTATGATACACTTAATTTCAACATTCGCGCTAAAACAAACACTATAACGAACGAACGTTAACTTCAACAATACCCTGTGACTGCAGATCAATTACTCACTACTTACACACACATTATTTCGTCACGTTGTGAGCGTCTTATTTATATACCAGAAAAACATATATCTAGTAAATGCTAGGGCATTCACGAAGGAACAAGATACTTTTAGAAAATAGGTCACGTGACCTCGCTGACGCAACAATAGTAACTGCAGATAACAGAAAGAACAGCAGAAAAGTTTCTCCTGAGATTCTGGCTCTTACTGATAAGAATCAAATATCTACAAAATATAGGTACGAGAACTGCTATACGGGATATTAAAATAAACATTTTGGCAGATTGAATGAATGTTGGATATTCAAGACTGTTTAGCTTAATAGTTGTTAAAAGAATTTTTGTATATACATTCGACTTGTTTTGAATATATTGTTACGTCTCCGTTTGTTAATTAACTTTCCGTAACTTCGTTCCGACGAAATTTTAGCGACACAAGTATTTGCTTAATAAAACTGGTTTATTCTTTCCGAATATAACTTTACCGATACACTCAACTTCAACAATCGCGCTAAAACAAACCGCTCTAAACGT